TCAGCCCTGCATTTCGCACCCCCCCGGCTCGCTACCCTTCGTTTTTGGCTTGGGGGCAGCTACCCTGCGTCTGCCCAGGCAAGGCCCCGTATACCCACTTCAGCGCGGGCCGGCGGGCTCCTTCAGCTGAGCTGCATGAGACAGTTCAAGTGACGTGTAGAAGAAGAGGGGGACGGAGATGGAGAACTCTGAAAGAATGGGTGATATACTGAAAAAACCCGAATCCTATTTGATGTTTTACAGGCGAGAGCTTGGCACCACAGTGGACGCGCTAAGCGAAGATAAAAGAGCAGTGACAACTAAAGGCGTGAAGGGGCTGTTTTGTTGGGGAAGAAGTAACATCAGAGACCCACTAAGGTCAGGAAACGGAAATAAAGCAAACAAAAAAAAAAGACAGCAAAAGCTGCAGAGATAATGTTTATTATTAACAACACAATGAGGCATTGTCATGCCCCCCCCCATAATAAATTAGGTGCGTATATACACAAATCCAGAAAAGACTGCTCTGTAGGATGGATAATTTCAGGAAGAAACGCTCTGTGTCCTGGTTTTGCTGGAAAGGCGCCTTTTAATACTGTCCGTGGCAGTCTGGGGTGGTACGCAGCCTGTTGGGACGTGACACCACCTAAGACCCAAGAGCTAGGAAAATATTGATTACACACAGCATTGAAACGGCTGCTAGGCCGAGACAAACGAGAAACAGTTCTTCTTATACTCATTTTTTCTCATCAATTCCAATTTTACAAGCTATTTTGCCTGGCGTAAGGTTGGATGGAAGAATGTATTACCAATGCAGGAGCCAAAACAAATCAAGTAAACAACATAGTCAGTGCTCAAAAGGCCCCCATGGATGGAAAATGAAAGAACTGCGCAGTATGATCAAGGCTGCTGGGAGGCAGCTTTATGTATTGGCAGTCAGTACCTTTAGAAAGAATAGTATTGTATTAATAAACACCGAATTTTGTGTCAGTTCCACAGCTCTCCTGGTTCATCACCTTACTGCAGGTTGATTAGGAGGTGACTATTTTTTCTTACTAATAGTAATGCATTCTACAATTGGAGTTTAAGAAATAAAGTATTTTAAGTCCATCCTTTCTACCACTACTGGCACTAGAATTTAATACTGCTAAAGGCTAAGTAGCAGGTGTGAAGCGATGCGGTTTCTTCACGCAAACCAGAGGGCTTCAGATTTTCTCATATTCTTTGCTAACTTCCCTGTAAATGAATGACATCGTTTTAAGTGCTGGAGATAATTTTCGTTTTCCACCTCAATTAAGTTGTTAAACTCCGTGCAACAAAGTTAGGCAATTTCCAATAGTAAGATTCCAGTAGTAAGCAAAATATGCCAGTGCATCTGATTTCCCTTCTCCAGACAGTTTCTCCAGACTTTACTTTCCAACATAAAGAAACTCACTGACTCATCCACTTTTTCAGGCATTTCAGGCCAGGAGAAGAGTTGCATCTTTGCCATTCCTTCGCCACCAAGTGCTGAAGGACACAACTGCCAAGGGAGGAAGATGAAGATGTTCCCAACCTGTAGCTTTCCCAAGCAGCACTCACAGAAAAAGACTGATCATCACCAAAGGCACCGGCAAGGGTAACTGGCAGCACGGCAGACTGTATGCCCAATTATTCATACAGTCTGCAAGTTTGCAGGCCAAAGAAAAAGGAAGAATTTATCCTTTGGTCAGGAGAACATGGTCTGTGACTGTTGGGTGTCTGGGGCTGAGGTGTTTTTGTTGTTATTTTAATAGATCTCATCTTTAGCAATTCAATCGGTGCCAGTTTGTTTTAAGCATGGCTCAGGGGTGTTATCCCACTTGTAGCATCTCTCACCATTGTACTGTGTTCTCTGTGAAAAACAGAGTGAAACCCCTCCTACTTGGAAACTCTGTGCACAGCACTTGCCCCTTTCATCCCTAGGTCTTTACGAGTTCATCCATCCGGGTTCATCCATCCAACCTTATTCCCGCTTGGATATACTGAAGGATACATGGAGGAACGCAGTGAACTGAGGCTAAGGGCTTCGCCAAAGTCACTGGACTACAGAAGCACTGACTGTTATTTTCCAGTCCCAAGTCTTACCCAGGGGATCGGGCTGTCTCTAAAGGGTAAATAAAACATGAGGAAAGTCATTTCATACCTCTTCATATTTATCAGCTTGATTTTTTCCCCGTGTCCTGTTTTTTCTCCTGAATTGTCTTTTGCTTACTTAGCTTCAAGCTGGGGATCATCAACTAGGCAGACAGGGACTCAAATGTCTTTTGAAACCTTGCTTCTTAGCCAGACTGTTGCTAGGAGAAGGTGCTGCAGTCCTAATTACAATAAACCTCACACACACGGAAATCAGCTGGACAGGTTCAATATTACTTAACAGCATCAGTCTGACCCCGATTTCTCAAACTGCTTTCCTAGAGCCTACCTACAGATCGCAGTCTGAGCTATTTCTGCCCTGGCCCCCAGAGGCAATTATAATCAATCCATGTGCGTGTCAAGTTTGGCAGTCCCTAACTTCAAGATCAAGCAGCCGTTCAGGTGATACTTGTTTTGATAAAACAAGTAGCCCCACTTGGATTTCACTTGGTGGCAACTGGCACATTTAAGTAATAACTGTTTCTGAAGCTGGCAATGGCTTATGTGAGGACACAGCATGCAACTTGCGTGAATAATCCATTTTCTGCCTAAAGTTTGCAGCAAAAAGTTGTTGGCAATAGTATTGCTATAATTTCCATGGGCTCAGGTCCTGGAAATTTAGTGTCATAGAGGATCTTTGACATCGCTTTGCAGGAAGAGGGTCAAAAACCACCTGGTCTCAAATCCACGTCGCTCTCGAAGGAGAAGCGTCACAGGCTCATGCAGCTGAAGCCGTGGGGGATCTGGGCTCCGCTCCTGGCTCCCGGGCCTGGGCTGGAAACACCGCGCTTGGAGTGGGTTAGTGCTAGCAGCACTTCAGCCCTTGAAATGAGATTTTTTTGGTGTGTGTTTGCATGTTCCAGACACTTATGCAGGTGGCCCGAGGCTGTAAAGCCTGATTTTCCCCTCTACCAGAGAAGTCTTGCCTAAATTGGACAGATCTTTCTTGGGATCACTATAAAAATCACTATAGCGCAACAGAACATGCCACACACATGCTAAAAAACAAGATTTTGCATGGAAGTCTAATTCACAGATAATGAACACAAAGCAGAGACACAACGTGTCTGCTCCAGTGCAGAGGTTTCTGCAGCCGGGAAGGGCTGAATAGAGGAGTATGGGCGCTTTAATCTATAATCATATGCTATTAATTTCACTACCTCCAAAGTTTTCTGCTGCCCTTTTTTTTTTCTCCCACTTTTCTGAGCTTACAGTTTCTCCTGGTGTCTCAGCGTTGCTGGGGGCTTTGCCAGTTGCTAAACCGCCAGTCACTGCTGCTGCAGCCGCCCGACGGAGACCCTGGCAACCTGGTGAGGACGTTTCGGCAAGTGCAGACCCCAGTTCCAACCCCACCGGAGCTGCCAAAGCCTCCTGGGTACAGGGTTACGTGCTGCACGGTTTCCAGGATTTATTGTGAAACTCCAGGATGAGCAGGTACCTCTGCCGAACGCTGGGTTAAACAACATTTCCAGCTAATTCACAGCTGTTCGCCATGGCAAGTTAGGGAAAAGGGGAGAAAAAGGGAAGGAAGGGAGGTGTGAAAATAACTGGATTGCTTGGGATGGAAAGAGAGAGGGGAAAAGAAGCTTATCTGAATTTTCTCCCTGCTTCCTAGAAGTAAAAAACTATTGCTGACCCCTCCCGCCCTGGCCAACACAGCGGGAACAGTACACAGTACAGGGGAACCACATGTGCACCCTGACCAACGTCTGTACAACCTTTTTCGGTGCCGAGCCTTCCCGGCCACAGGAGCTGGCTGCTGGGTGCGATGTGCAGTGGCCTGGGGAAGCATCACGTCCGCGGCACCCAACTCGTGGGGGCACCAGCCCTTTCCGCTTGTGCTGCACAGAGCCCCGCGCATCCTAACTGCGGTCAGCGCTCGCTTCCAGCGCTGGCCACCCGGCACGCAAGCATGGCCCTTCATTACTAGCTGCGATTCCTAGTACTAATTGCAGCCATGCCTCCAGCGCCCAGCTGGGAACAGGCTCCTGTTGGGTCGTACTCCCCTGCCGGCGGCGGCACCCTGGTGCGGCAGCTCCGAGGGCATAACCACGTAGAGTAGAAAAATCACGGGCTTTGATGTGACTCTTTTCACTGCTGGCGTTACACGCTCCTTGCTTTTGAATGCGTTAAAGCCCCCTTCGTGGAGCAGAGCTCCGATGTGGCTGGGCTCAGCACAAAGAGAGAAGAAAAAAGGGGGCTGCTGGCTTACAGATCTCAATAGAGGTAGTAGAGACCGCAGCAACCAAGAAAACGGTATCGGTGCTGGTCAATATTTTCGGTAAAGCTCGCCTATTTTAGGCACATTTCTAAAGCGGGTTCAACTGCGTGAGACTGGTAAGACGTGTAATTAGCAGCTGTTTGCTTCAGCCAGCCTAGTTTTCAGCAGCGGTACGAGCAAAGCTGCACAGTACTCGTCTAAGCCTCTGCTGAAGTCCTCCGCGTGCAGCCCGTAACGGATCAAATCTCCCCTTGACCCCACTGCGTCTGCGGCGGTTAAAAGTCAGCCCTGCTGGATGCGTTTCGTCACGTGGCAGGAGAGATTTTCCATTAGCAAAATGAGCAGTGCGAGCCAAGGGTTGACTTTTGGGGCCATTTTGGCTGTATTTTACTGGACCTCAGCGCCTCAGCCCTCCCCATTATCAAATTACACGCAGCGAATCAACATGCCAAAAGCTGCCCCCGAACATAACAAGCCAAGATGGCTTTTTGGTCAGCAGCCCAAGGGTGTGAGAGAGCTGGCGGGGATGAGGAGGATACAAAGGTTTCCAGCAAGGAAGTACCAGCTGAGCCGGTGCCTCCTGGAAAAACGATGCTTCTTATCAGGAGTTATCTCGTTGCCTGTGTATGTGGCGTACATTTTTGCGATCGGAGCAATGAGTTTTTGCTCACTTTATATATATATCTATACATATATATCTGTTCTCTTTACAGTTTAATCATTGCCTGCCAGCTTTAACAAGCTCTTTGCTTAATTTTTTTAGAAGGCCGTTTCCTCCCGTAGAGCTGAACTCCTAGTAGCACTGTGGTAGCTTCATTCCACCTTCTCTGTTCTGAAGGCGGCTGCTCTTCTCTAAATATTTTGGCCTGTAAATCCACCGACCCGGCGGACTCATTCCTGATTCACATCTGCAGAGAGAAGATCAGGGTTAGGAGAAGTGGATTTGTCCAACTAACGGCCACACACGGTACCAAAAAATAACAAACCAACCCAAATGGCAGCTACTGTGCCGTGGTCGTTTACAGACGAGCTACCGCGTCGTGCTGAAGCAAAGCCTGAGCTGCGACTGCAGGCAAAAGAGGTTTCCCCCGGCACGCCGGAGGGACCTGCCTGGTCCACCAAGCTGCCAAGACTTGCTGGAGGTAAAAGGAGCTGCGATCTGGTAGGGCTCAGGCTGGCGCTGTCCAAGTCTGGGGTGCGCAGTTGGGACAAACAATAAAACACTGCCGCAGCCCGTTTGATCAGAAAGAAGAGATGCTATTTTCATAACCAGACTAGGGAGTGCTTTTTTAAGGCCGTAACGTAGTTACAAAACTCTTCCTAGAGGAATAACACCGCATCGTACTAGTGACTTACAAATCAGCATGGGTCATATTTTGTTTTCTGAGCAGACTTCCTAGGGGAACAAGTACAACTTGCTTTAAAAAAAACACGGAAGAACATCCCCACAGGAAAAAAAGAATTGCTTTCTGAATACAATCACTGTATGCATCATGCAGCCCCAAGGGAGAAATCACTCCCCTGAAGGAAGCCATACGAAGAAGTTGTGTATCTCCCCTTAAAAATACCTTCTTCTCTGTCTCATTTGACGGCCTGAGAACGCCTGACAGCTTTTAACTGTTGACATTATGCAGCTATAATGAAAGCTTTCCTAAGATGACTGTGGGAGAATAAGGTCATGGAAAAAGAGATATAAAAGATATACGCAAGGTCCAAATCAAACAGCGGCAGGAAAACACCGAAGAAGTGACACGCTGCTAGCGTATAGCAAAAAAAAAAAAAAAAAAGGACTCTACGGAGAAGGGCACGGGAAACAACGGGGAATCAGAAAGCGACGAACCAAGAGGGAGAAAAGAGGAGGAGCCGATTCTTTTTTCCTTTCTAAGCAGTGGGATCGAAGGATTTCAAGGATGCTGGGTCACTCTCCCGCTCTCAGGACTCCTGTAACACTTTATTTAGGTCCCGCAACCTTTCCCCACGCCGCTGCCACAAATCACCCCCCGCTCTTCATGTTCCTGAGGAGCGTGGGGCTGTCTGAAGAGGTGGGCGTCGGGCACGTCCAGAAAATGTAAAAACCCTGGGAAGGAAAAGGCTAACAAATACTTGACACCAGGCTCTTTGCCGGGTGGCTTGCTCTGTTCATGTCCACCTCAACTTGTGTTTCCCCAAAAAACATCAGGCTGACCTTCTCTCATGCAGCACCGGCCTTGTGTCTTGGCACTACATTGGGATATATCTTCCATATTGAAGCGCCAGATTTAAGAGACCTTGTCACTTGGGCTGACCGTGGGAAAGAGCCGCGCGCGTAACATAACACAGAGTCGTGCTGTAGCGTCATCCAAGTTTGCCTTGCCAGCCGCCTTTAGGCAGCTGCTGTTGTCGTAGCTGATTGGCCTTGAGAGCAACCGCAGCGATACGCGTAGGGGAACTACCCGCCGAAACCGCGTGCCGGGACACGGGAAGGAGGCGTAACAAAGATACGGGATTCGTGCGTTTTCTTTGGCATTTCCTTTTGGGTCGGAAAAGAGACGTTCTTCAATGAAGTCAGTCTGTAACGATGTTACGCACTTTCTCCCCCCGCCACCAAAGCTCTTATCAGAAGAATCTCCCCCCTCCCCAAACTGTATCATTTTTCTGGCTGGGTTGTCACTACAGAAATTTTACGTTTGCTAATGTTTTCAGACACTTAAAAGCAGACATGATCTTAACA